CCAAAAATTATATATATATGTATATAGGTAGATATAGATATAGTTTTTACGTTGTTCGTGGACCAGCTTAAAAGTTCTAAAAATAATTGTTTTAGAGTAGTGATTATATTACTGGCTTAACGCCAACATTATAAATAATATAATGTATAAAAAAATTGAATAAAACAAATATACAATTTTATAGTCATGAAAGATGACTATTTCTAGAACTTTCATGCTCGTTATATATAAAATGTTATACATAAAATCTTGATTTATATACAAAATTATGTTATAAATATCTATACCCTTGAGGTAAAGAACGACATGTCTATTTTTGTATTTCTTGAGGAGAACCAAATTTTCATAACTTTGAGCTATAAAAATTGGTTTCTTAGTTACGAAATCTATACCCCATAGATACAAGACAACATGTCACATTTTATTATTTCTTCGAGAGCCCATTTTTCATAACTTTGAGCAATTAAAATAATTTAATAATTATTAAATTATTTAATAAAAATATGGACACAGAGTCTTTTATCACCTTCAAGTCACAGATACAGATGTATAAAACAATAGATCGTTATTACCAAACCCATCCAAAAACCAGCTCGAATTCTGTGTATACCAGTAGCATACCATCACGCCTACTTAAAAAAAGATGGCATCCCACTTGGATAGCCTGAGACTGAAATGGGACCTAGGAGCCGTTCGTAATATATTAATGGCTGACCAAGGTGGTCACTTCGCCTTTGCGTATCTGCTCAGGAAGGCAAACCAGCTGCCTGACCTCAAAGCTATCAAATAAATATGACCGGATGTATATTTATGTATGCTATGTTAATATCTAGTCTTAAGATGTTAATTATTTTTAATTCAGCAATAATATTTAATAAAAACATTTTTAGCGGATATTCAACTCATCAAATAAATAAGTGATGTTTCAAATCAAAATGATAATTCGAAGTGGCAACTTGGAAGTAGAGAAAAAAAAGTGAGTATGTAAGCCCAAACAAAAATTTGTATGGTACTCTCATATAGAGGTATGTTTGGAAATTTATTTTTGCCAGTACTAATATCGAAGTATAATATAAGATGGAAAAACCAAATATTACAATAAAATTAATGTTATAAATGGAATAATCCAAACAACACAGCCATGAGTCTCCAACATGTGAATAGTAGATTTGCCAACGTTTCGCAAATTCATGCATTATCAGGGTAGAAAAACCAAGATCACATACACGCAGAAAGAAAAAAACTAAATGGAAATAAAAAAAAAATACTGATTGCAGTAGACATCTGACGAAGCCATCCAAAAACATACTAAAAGAAGGAGAATGTTCTATTAACAAAAACTAAGGAAGGTTATATTGAACGGCTGATTGGACGTAATATAATATAATAATAAAAATCATGCTAAAATAAATAAAATAACAATAAAAAAAATCAAATGAAAAAGTTCATCCATTCTCAACAAAACTCAGTGGATCCATGACCATTCCACAAGTAATATTATTAAAAAAATGAAAATAAACAGGAAGTGTTGTTTTCATTTTTCCATTTATAGCATAATCACCTTAAGTCTCTTTTCTAGCTTAGTTTTAGTAAAATTAATAACAAACATATCGTATGTTTATTTTAAAAAAGGCATTTTTGATGGAGCTAGATTTTTACGTACATTTTTTTTTTTAATTTTAACAATATCTGTCGATACAGAAACACAGTTAGTGCGTCAAAATGGAAAATCATTTTCAATTTCAAATGTTTTATATTTATAAAAACACAATGAGCACAATTATGTGGACGGAACGTCTTGGTTTCACAGAGGGAAAATCATCGACATACTCTATCATTTAACTTTATGAAATATTATTTAACTCTTTACTCTTTACAATAAAATGACGATAAAGTCTTAGAAGGTTATGCACTATTTATCTTAAGAATGCATTATTAACGTTTGGCAGCACAGTATGAAGTGAGCAAAAGATTTTTTATAGTTTCTTATCATTAAGGATAGGGACCGTGTCATTTACTGCGGTCGAGTAATAAAATTGATAATGTTGATCACTATCAATTTTAATGCTATCAAATTTCCTTTAAGTGACGTGAATTATTATATGATAAAGATTATGAGAACAATTCGATTATAAGACAATTAGTAGACAGATATATTTCATTAGAAAGGAAACACAAACAGAAATATTAACAGTAAAAATAAAAAAAAGTAATTTTGTAAATATATAATACTTAGTTTAATCAATATTTATTTCTTTATGGGAATGATTTTTTACCAAAGTTTTTGTATTTAATTCAATAGTTTCTGCATGTAGGTGAATAAGTAACAGTTAAGTTTGTATAAAATTAAATTATAAAATAACGTCTTTAAACGCATGTTATTAATAGTTATTTTTTCAGGAATATTTTCTAAATGTATCTCTTTAATGTAAATACATAAAAGATAGTGAGTAACATCCTGTTTCCTAATCAATGCAAACATTTATTAAATACATTAACATAAACATGAGCCTACAGGATAAGACTTTTAAGGTGCGCCACCAGCAAGGTATTATTGTTATCCAGTTATCAGTACCTAAACCAATACAACTAAATCTTATCGCCTTCTACTATTTATCTTTTTCCAATAAATCCTCGAAGATATGGCTCCTCCAATTTCCTCTCTACTGTATCTTAACCTCACATTGGAAGTTAATTTGGCTTATTTCCAAAGTTTATAAAGAAAATTTCCGATATGCTCTTGGTGTCAGATAATTTATGATGGGTTGGTAGATTCAAAATGATGTATCAGCACGGTCATATGTAATTACGTTCCCTTACTTGGAACCTCTCAGTTCCCTAAATAAAAGAAAATATTCAAATTTATTCGTTGAACTTTGAATTCAGCCCTCTTTTTAGAAAGACTTTATCATTATAAAAATCTTGTGCTTCGAAAAATAAAATGTGACTCAATGGCTTATGGTTTCCAAGGGGGTTAAATTTAAAGTTGCATTTAAATAAAAAAATTATAATATACTTATGATAAACTAATTTATTTTCAGACATGACACGTAAAGCAACTTCTTGAATGTTAGAATATCGAAGTCGTTTTCCCATTGAATAGATTTGTAACGTCACTAGATTGAATAGATTTGAACTAAGTTGCAATATGAATTTGTGGTGACCTCAATTGTACTAAAACTGGCTCTGGATTCGTATTATAATATTCTCAATAAGAAACTTTACATCCTATCGAGTTTGATATGAAATCTTAATAAATTTAGCAACAAACTAATTTGTTTATTATATAATTTGTAACTTTTATAATAATTGTAATATTTTTATTGATACATGAATTATTAACAATACATGGGCTTTATACATGTTTACTGTATGAGGGAAAGATAAAAAGAAAACAAACTAATACTAAGTTAGTTATTCCTGATAGCCTAGGTGTAAGCTATTCAAGCCATGATCATTCCCAAATACAGGCGGATTTACGGAGAGGGGAATTTATGTCTGAGGAGGGTATCTAAGGTCTCACTGGTCGAACCCTGGGGGGAGGGAGGGGAGTGGTGTTTCTAGACAAAATTTTCAACAAAAAAAGTTCAATTGAAGCATGGGCTGTTTCCGAACGGAAGAGGAGTTAAGACCAACTTTCAAATTAACTTTTTTGTTGGAAATTTTGTCTAGAATCATTCCTTCATCAGTTTGGCTATTAAGAACTGAGGCACCTCGTATATGAAATAGAAAAGAAAAAAAAAATTATTCGTCCATATTTATTCCTATAAGTGATTAAAGCTCAATACATAAATAATCATAATATATTATTTTCAAAAATTATAATATATATCAGCTACTAAATGTAAACACGAGTCAAGAAAACATATAGAAAGCATCATCACAAAGAGCCCAGCCCACATCCGTCAATCCAATAGCCTTCCCCTTCTTACCTTTAAATCCCGCCTGTTCAACCATTTCCTATCCATCCAGTCCCCATAAAATTGTAAGTAGATAATAATAATACGATAAATATGTATATAAATTATTAGATCGTTCTTCATCATTTTTACTTCATTTTCAATTTTTTATTATGAACTTATTTAAGTAAGAAAGTAACTTATAATTTTTTATTATGACTATTTCATTACTCAGCATTTTTTTATGTATCTCTGAGGCTCCTTAGCCGACATTTCTGTCCTTCTGTATTATTCTAAAGGGACTCGTCCCAGAATAAATAATGTATTATTATTTTTTTAAAAGAGCATTATTGTTCCTTTAGTTATCCTTAGTTTCTTTCTTTTTCTACCAAGCTAGTTAGGTTAAAAAATAAAAAAGCCCTATTCCCCTCTAGTCCGAATTAAATTCTTGATCCGCTACTGTTTCCAAATAATCATCAGGTATCTGAATCTTGACTAGCACCGGTTCGTAAGAAATAGTTTTCGATCATTAAGAAATACCTTGTACTACAAAAGCAGTAAATGATCATAACCCCTCTACTTTTTAATTAAATGCTCATTCTTAAGTATATTATTAGGTGATGTGGTCAACATCTGCGCTCAGGTTTATCCTTCGATCTGATGAACAACTAAGTAACCACTTAATAGTGAGTAAACCAGAAGGTTACTTTTACCCAATAGTAGATACACGACAGATTACAGAACAAATAAATTATTAATCAACCCTGATTCATACCCGAGACTAGAAGAAGATTATTTTAAATTTCTGGATCATTACATAACTGGGGACTCCACCCAAAAAAGTGGCAATGAAGGTTTAACCGAATAAATATTCTGTTGAATAACATTCAAAGTTCAAACGAGTAAAATAAATTAGCCAACTAATGTAAATGAAAGGAAAAAAAAACAACGACTTTTTTGAGGTTTTGTATGTGTAATACTTAGAAAAAAAAATTCGATCTTATTTTCAATTTTTTTTTCCTTTTGAATAAATTAATTGGCTGACGACATTCGTATAAAAAGGTAAAATCTGAAAGAAAACAGGTAGCAAGGCGACCGAATATGGACAGCCCAAGCCGGCTGGTGCAGCTGGTAATTGCCGGAGAAGAAAATGGTTTTCTCCTTTAATGGTCATCCGTTGGAAGGGCCTGGTACCTTCTTTCCATCGATAATTATTTCATTTCTCATCGTCACGGTCGTTCAATACAGTTATGAATACGAACTAAGTTGTATTCCTCATCTCACACCAGGTGCTTATGGCTTATGTCGAGTGCTTATTTATCTCATACTTCAACACCTAATCAATTTAAATTGAAACGAACTATTGACCTTCCTGCTCACTGACAGAGAATTCGAGGGAGCGCTGAAAGCTAAGACAATGGTTATGCTCCCATCACTAACGGGTTCTCGAAGAACAAAGGGTCGTGGAACTGTGTCGTCAGACTTCGATTTACCTGATGACTATTTCAGAAACAGAATTATTCAAAACAAAAATAACTAAATGAGAATCAAAAACGTTTTCACTCAATGTACAAATATTTGCCTATGTCTCCAATAATCTGTGTTGGCAGATTATAGCGTGGTCGCTATACAACATTTAATAATACAAATCAAGAGAAGAATAGTTGGGGTGTTCAGTCAAAAAGGAAGGCAAAAATAAATGATAATATTATCATTTATTTTTGCCTTCCTTTTTGACTGAGAACACCCCCCCAACTATTCTTCTCTTCATTATCCACGACAGTCAACCAATTACCAATTATAATAATACAAATATTTGCGACGAGCATGGCCGTGTTTCTCGGCTTAATTTAATAATTAGTTGCGCGTATATTTCAGCGATTATTTCATCAAATACGCGAATAAAAATTTTCAATTATGAGAACAAAATTTTTCTCCTATCTCCCATGCTCACAAAATCAACTTGGTTAATGGGAAACCATATTTTTTAACTAACATAATTATAATACACTATACTTTTAAGGCATGAAAGGCAGAAGGAAGGCAAGAAAAATTACTCACATTTTGAGTAAATAAAAGTTCCTTTATTCGATTATTATTTATATATATATATTTTTTTTTGTTTTGTTAATAATCCAATTTGATTCTGCATTTCACTTTAACCCAAAAACATCATATCAATACATAAATCAGAAATTAAATTTATTTATTTCATTTTTTTAAAGAAAAGAAATTGATATTAGTTATAATGCAATTAACTTTGATGATTTCATTGTTTATTCTGACGTTTCGGTTCATTTTTTTTTTTTTAAATTGTACTAAGATTAATAAATAAATTATGGAATTTCCACGATTATGTTCCACGACCTTGTTTGTTCCATGAATGAATCGTCATATCGTCGGTTTATTGCAAAAAGTCATGAAGTGAGACATAGTAGCCTTAAATTACTGAAAACTTTGATGAATTTTGAGTTTTAAAATAAAAAAATTCTACACCTGTTGTAACCATATTTAATATATAAAAGGATTAGTCTTTTTTAGTGCACTTACTGTTTTAGCCATATCGATTTAATAAGTAAGAAACCCATTAAAAAAGTTCTTAAAAGTTCAGCTTTGTCAATAATGTACTTGATGACTTTTTGCAATAAACCTACGATATATATTATAGAGAATAATAATTTATCTCACCGTCACCTAGGTACCATCAAATCAGACTGCTTACTTACCTGTAAAAAATATATATATGTTATAACGAAATAGGCAAATAAATAACATAAAAACAATTCATTTTGAACTAATATTTGTTATAGAAAAAAATATTCGAATGGATAAGGACAACTAAAGAATGGTCGCTATGGAAAATTCCCAAATTCAAACTAGTTAGGTTGAGACAATAGTCTCTGATTCGGCTCTATAACAATAAAACAATTTTATAGGCATAATATGAGTCGCTAATATCCAAAATGAATCCTAATAATGAAATAAACGACTCATAAATGGTATACATATATTATACAACAATGGACATATTTAAAAAAAAATATTGGGTTGGCAAATAAGTCCTTTCGGTTTTTCTGTTTATTTTTATGCCACTATGGTACACTTCTTATCTGATGAATTAATCCTAGAGGTGGATTGTTTATCCTGTTTGTAATATGTCAACAACTATATCTGTTAACTTTTGTTGAAACTAGCTTAGTATCGTGTTTGCTGTTGCACTGTGAATATAGAAGAAAACATTTATCATCGGCATATTTTGTTGTATTATTTTTAAAAAAATAAACGTTCAGCAGAAGCTCACAGAAAAACTTGAAGCGTTTATGTGGATGATGCCTTAACCGCACTTGTCAGAATTGGTTTGCCAAATTTCATTCAGGAAATTTTGACATCAATGATGCTCAACGGTCTGGTCACCCACGTGAAATTGATACAAGGAATGTTAAGGCCATTGTTGATCTAAATCCCACTAAATCAGTGAGAGAGATTGCTATGGAACTAAATGTGTAGCACAGAACAGAAGCGTAGAAAACCATTTGCACAAGCTCGGCTATGTTACCAGGTTTAATGTTTCGGTCCCTCACATGATTTTTCTTTTCGAAAATCATAAAGAATATTATAAACTTAAGAATTTAGGATCACGTAAACAGCACAAAATGAGATCAACAGGACCTTCGAAAATAAACTACAAATTAAGATAAAAAATAAAAACCAATAAGGAGTCTTTCTTTATTTATTTATTATGTAGGCTTTAAAGCAAAAAACCATTCATACGGATATGAAGAGCAATAATTCAGCTTTCCAACGGATATAGCAACATCTAATTTGGAGGTTTTGACTTGATGTAGGGAAGAGAGAGAGATGAAAAATAGCTAAGTGACTTGATCTTGATTCGGTGGATTTTAAATACTTTTTTCAAATTTAAAAGCTTAAATTTAGTAAGAAAATCATTTAATTTTTTTGGAAACATGCGATTCAGGTCAAATAATGTTAGTTTTCATAAATTATTATTTATATTTTTTTTTTGTCATTATCTGTTACCTTTTGTTCTAAAAGATATATTATACCTTCTGACTATTATTATTTCCGGAGATTCATTTTCTACCTGAATAAGCATTTTTCTTTTTTTTCCTCCTTTATCAAATTCTTTCAAAAGTTATATTTAGCCTTATTTCATAACTCCTAATAATGAGAGATAGTTAATTCTTTAAAATAAACCAAGTTAAAGGTACTTTAGAAGAAGACATATTGATTTTGGGCAATTAAGTCCTGTAAGGCGATATCAATGTGGATAAGACCTTTCTGATATTAAAGACCACTTATTAATACACTGATGTACCGAGTTTGATCAAAATCGTTGAAGCCGTTTTCGAGAAAATCGTAAAAATATGCAACATCGATTATATTAAGTGCCACTTCCGGTTAGCAGATTTTGACGATAAAATTGCTGTAACATCTCATCTATATACAAACCTTAAATATGCAATTTTACTTTCATACAACCTTAGTTTCTTGAGCTAGACCTGTCAAATACATACACACAGACACAAATTATTCTGCGGGACTTGGTTATTTCGACTCAAGGGACCTCAAAACATGTATTTCCGTTGAAAATGCAGATTCGAAAATTTTCCAGATCGCAATGTCCCTTCTTACTATATATTTCATATGTAGGTAAGTGAAAGTAAAAAGTACGAGTTCGCGTCCCGGTGCTGTAGGGGATTTTAAATTCCCCCTCAAAAACACTAAAATAGGACAAACGGGGACAATAATAAATAAAAGAATGGAACGAAGGAGCATGCCGAGTTATCGACCCTGTTCAATAATTTATAGTGGGCTCACTTCTTCGGCCGAACCTCCCGTATAATTGTCCCTCTTAGCCTCTGCACGTGTCCTGGGGTCAATGCTACGAGGGGGCGATATCAACATTTGTGAAGAATTTGTAGGCATCGCTATGTTTTTAATTTTAATTAATTTATTAATAAGATGATGAATAATCAGTTTTAGTCAGTTCAGATTATATTTTACGTTTCGACCCAAGTATAAGGATCATAAGCAGGGATTTAAAAATTACATCCAAAATACAGAAAGAAGAACATAAATAAACAAAGATGCATATAAAATAATTGTAGTATATAGATAATAGTTATATAAGCGTTTGAGAGAGGCGCTGAGATCTCTCTAAGCCCTGCTTTTCTTTCCACATATAGGGAAGGAATGTCTTGGCTCAGATTTCCCCTGAAGAATGATTGTTTCGTAAATATTGTAAATAAGCATGCTGGTATTTAATAATTACCATTTTGGTAATTAAGTATTGTGATTAGTTAGTTTTCTTTTTTGTTTACATATGTATATATTTATTTTTAGTATTTATATTTAGATATTATCCCATTTTTAAAATTTTTTTTTTGTGTACATCGAGTATGAACTGAATGAACTTCTGTATCACTATTCCTATTCGTTGTGACAGATTGTAATAAAATTTAATAAAACAAAAATATATATTTTTTAAATAGAATAGAATAGAATAGAATACAGTAAGTATTTCATAAGAATATAGAACATGATAATAGCTTATTTTGTAGCAATTCTATGATTGTTTTAATTTAGGAAGTAACTTGGACATCTTATTTTCAGAAGCTTCGGAGGATTGTCAGGAATAGTTTTGGACGATAAGTTGTGACCAAGGAGTTTGGAATTAATGAGGGATATCTATTTAGGACTGGTTCAAAATAAGGAGCATTAAGGATTCTACGCAAGATATGGGATTGTAAGGACTGAATACGGGAAAAATAATCAATTACGTATGTCCAAATGTGTTTGATAATTATTAAATGTTTAATTTGTTTATCGGTACCACTTATTTAGTTAATTTATTTTTCTTTTAGTATACTATTATATTTAATTTACATTTATTTAATGTGTAGTAATTATGTTTTTGTCCTGGCTTGTTAATATAGTTCTGTCAATGTCTAGTATTTCTGATGTAATTTTTAATGTTTATTCCTGATGATGACAGACATGTTTGGGTCGAAACATCGGGAAATTCAATAAAATAAATCTAGAATGGAAATTCCGATTATTCGGAACCCTCATAATTTTAAGAAAACATCGAACTAAAATATCCATCTTTAATCTGATTGAGACTTGCCAACTTCAGAAAGCAATGACAGATTATATTTTGAATTCATCGATTAAAAAGCTGAAACTTTTAGTACGCTCTGACTAAGATACTACGGCACAGAGGAAAGACCTACTTATGCAAAGATGACGCCTCCGCTGAGGAGAGGACAGATGGGAGAGATGGCGGCCGTTCTAATCCACCAGAGAGGAGCAGAAGGTCAGACCAATCCAATCTTCAATCAGGAAATCATTACTTGCTCGTAGCCGATTTTTCTCTTGAGGGCCACTTAATGTCGCAACAGGGAGTCTCCAATCTCCCTGTCGATAATCAGCAATTGTCGAGCGAGCTGTCTATAATCATATCCAAGTTTAGGAAACATCCGAGGGTGTGGATATTAGAATTACATGATTATTTAAGAATTTCTTCAGCTAATATTTTTAAAGAGCACGTTTGTAATTTAACTAAATCTGATAGAAGAAGAAGAGTACGATATAGTCACTATTTATTTTTATTAGATCTACTAAAAATTATAACAAAACGCAAACTCGAAGATTGCTTGCAGATACCACCAATCGCTGCAACACTCCACCATCCATCCACTGACTAAATCCACATTAGTGATATATTTCACGTAATCATCCCATTTACGTATTGGTTTAGCACTCAGTTTACGAACCGGATATATCCTTTTAGTGCTTCGATCGCTACTGAACCCAATTATCAGATTTGAAATTAATTGTTTTCTTTTGGAACCGAGAGCAGGAGCGATACCATTTTTTCTTCAAATATATTTTTTTTAAATAAAAACGTACAACAAAGTACTACTATAATAAATAGATATACAAAATGACAAGATTTTAATTACAAATTGATTTAAATAATACAAATAACTATGGAGTCAGTAGAAATTACGCAATTATTTTTTCTAAAATAAAAATCTTTTTTCTTTTTTTTTTTGTGAAAAGAATTTTTCCTTTTTGTAATTGTTTATTTAAATACTATTTTGTAAATCCCAAAATATTGGTAATGATAAGGTGATACTAAAAAATATTAGTATATTCTCAATGCATCATAGATTGAACTATGAAGAGTACCATTCTGAATTGTTTGCCTTTATCAAACAAATAAGATCAAGTTAGAGTAAGACATACTGATTTTGCGAAATCAGACTGACTAATATATTTTTTTTTATTTGCTGCTTTTTAACGTCGCATCGACTTCCAAGGTCATTAGCGATAATATTTAAACAAACAGACTAATGTTTGAAATTGAGAAAAATCGAGAATAATTAAGAATTCTCCCTTTCCTAATCACCAGTTTACATACTTATATTTTAATATATTATTATATTATCATCGAAAGCTATTTATCAAGGTCTACATAAAAATACGATCATATAATAATAAAAATCTTGGGATATTAAAACGAATAGTTATCTAAATATAAATGAAACAAGGCTTTAAAGAGTATTTTTACCACTGCAACTGTAATAATAAGATAAATTATAACACTTAGATGTGATAAATTAAATGTCTTATAAACATAACTAATGCGAAACTTCATTGAAAGGACCTATTTAACCTTGTACACGCTCAACTGACTTAAAAATACCATCAACAGAAATATTAAGTTTCAATATTAATTAATGCAACAACCGAAAGCAATTAAAGTACAGGAGCGCAAAAATACAATGACCCAGAGAAACAATACTTTCACAAATTTTACTAATAATTAAAAAAAACAATTATATTTTTGTAATGATCAAGTAAGGCTACGCCCCAGATATAGGAAAAAAAACAAAAACAAATAGATTAAATATAATAAATCTGGAAAAAAATATTGTAGGGTTGGGGTTTGTGGATTGCTGCTTGGAGCAGAGCAGGTTAGCACGAGATGAATGGACCGATAACTCAGGCGTCACTTTGTGCTAACTCCCTCTTCTCTTTTTTATGTAATATTTTTCATTTCGAAAACACTTGTTCACATTCCAATTTTCGTGATAAATCTCTTTAAAAAAAAACATTGAAAAATGTATCAATAAAAAAAGGATATGCTAACATCGTAGTCGCACAAATATGATACTGATATATTATTTAGAAATGAAATATTCCATATATATATATATATATATATATATATATATATAATAAAGTCTTCTCAGAAGTTCCTGGAACGTTATACATTTTAAAATGTCTAAGCGTGATTATTATTAACTGTTATTTTAAAAATGTGTACCCTACCTCTTAGGGTCAAATTCATATTTAATAAAAAAATGGGCCTTAACGTAAAGGTGTAAAATTTATTAGTTTATCTTTATGAGAATTAAACTGGAAGACTTTATACTTTAATATTGGCGTTCAATTCAAATATCTGCAATTCAATTTCAATTTAAATATTGGCTAATACTTTCAAATATTGTTTTTTTTTTCGACTTAAAAACATAAGTTTCATCTAATTTTCCATAAACAATTAAATTCATTAAATAAGGTACCAATAAATTTTAAGTTTTATAAAATGATAAATTGGATCCCCATTGGAAATAATTTTATTCATTTAGTAATAATTAAACCGTTTAGACCTTGCATTCAATAGTATAGATGAAATTTTACAAACATCAAATAGTCAATTATCGGTTAGTATTCGTGATTACAGATAAAAAATCATTGCTTACATCATTATGATGGTTTTAGAACGAAATATATGAAGGAATAAGTATTGTTTAAAAGAATACGCAGAAACTAGGCAGAATTAAGAAAGAAGTAGTTCTATAAGAATATATATATATATATATATATATATATGTCAATAGATTGAGAACGGGTATTATAAGAGTTAATATAATGAAACTTAGAAAGAGTTCTAAGGTACCCTAAGGACTTGGAAAACGAAGACAAGAACGATTGTCTTCGAAAAGGATAAAGCCACTTCAACTCGGTATACCAAGACGAAACATGAGGGAGCCTGGGAAACCCGAAGATAAAACCTATTGAACAATACGTAATCCTCTTCGGTTGTTATTACTTATACAAAGCTGAAAATTGAGTCGCTATTTACCTCACATCGTTACATATTTCTTCAGGGATAAATTCAAAATAATTGCATGAGCGTATCTCTACTTTAACGTTTTCTACCAGCAATTCCTTTTTTTTCTTTTAAAAGCTATTCGCAATCAAACTCACGTCACTAACCAGGTACAACTGGATTCTGTTCGTGAGATTGACTTACATATAGTTTGTTATAGGGTATGGAACATTTGGTGTCCTAATTTCTCAGAGAAGACTTGAGTTTCAATACTGTATCGCTGCGTTCGGCAAAATACTAGGTTTTTTATTTGAGTTCTCATTAAATCAATTTTAAACCAAATAGAAGCGTCTGTCATGCTCAAATGCCAATAAATGGAGAACCGCTGGAATCAGAATTTCATTAAGAGTTAGCGAATCATACTCTTCGCTTTTGTTTTTGTTTAATAAGTAAATTCAAAATAAACATTTGGCTAGGTTTTAATAAAGGCTCAATGGTAAGCCGTAGGATTGATGCGGAAACATAGGGATGTGAGGATTTTGATACGAACACTAAGACCCGGTTAGTTACATCGGAACTAATCTGCGTTTTAAAAGCCAAAAATGTACCATTTTTGAGTAATTTAAGGCAGTGTTCTCAGACACACCTCAAATTAATTGTAGTGCTGTCGTAAGAAAAATGTCTCATGTCCTCGTCTCGTCATATGATCAAGAGAGGAGGAATTTATATTATTTATTAAAAATATTTTCTTATCGGTATGACATATCTGCGATAATTCTTCAATAACTTAAAACTTAATATTACTTTTTTAAGATTTCCTTCTTATGAAACTTTGCATTATTTTATTATTTGATCACTGATCAGTATACTGTGCGAATTACTTGCACGGGCCAACTAGTTTACATAAAATAATAATTGGTTACTTTTCTTTAATTCACATTTAATTTGGAAGAATAATTGCTAATAGGTTCTCAAAATTAATATTTCATTTATAATTTAAATGAGAGTATAAATATATATTTTAAACAAATATTCGTTTTCTTAGCAGCCGGAAAAGGTTCCGGATACCAGATATACTAGAAGCGATTTACCATTTAAAATCCCCCCAATAAATGATCAGAAATTTTTAAAAATAAATTGTTAAATTTATAGCCTCTAAGTTGTAACTTATTTGGAGGGGAGAGGAGGGAATATTTGCAGTTTAAAATTTTCTTTAAAAAGAGGGTCGTGCTCATAGGGAATATATGGTAAAATAAGGAATAGTTTTCCGCAATGTTTCTCATCAAGACGATAGTTTTATTACAAGGACGTGTGGCTTATTTTATTTTTTTTTATTGAGTAAATTTTATTTAGAAATACAACACAATAGTACCGTCATCAATCGAATCTGGTTTAGGCGGTTACATATTTACTTGATGATATACCCGCGAAATGTATCCCTAACGTCACACCTCGCTAGAACAGGGTAAAATGACCTGTAGAATAATCATCCCGTATGTCAAAAATGGCCAAGGAGGAAACGAAATATTTGGAAAACGTACATACTGCAACTATGACCAAACAGAAATCAATGAAATATACTCATATAAATAAAAATACATTCCTTTTAAAAATATTAAGATCCATATAATCCTGGAAATTTAATTATACAATTCATCCTTCTATCATTAATCGATAAGTAAACAATATCGTTAGAACTATTGGTTTAAGCATCGCGAATCTCTGATTCATCTTTAATGGCTAATTAATAGATCAACTAATGATGATTAATAAGGACAGTATTTTGTTTCGAATTCCAAACAACTACAAAAGAAACCTTAACTTTTCTTAATAGTCAAAAAAACTATTAAGGAAATTTATAAGGCATATTCTTATTGAAATGACAATCTTTATTTAAATTGAAATTCAAATAGCAAAGAACGATTTACAATGATTATTTCTTATTAAGTACCTTCACGTTACTTCACATCGCTAAAAACGAATGATTGCCCTCGTCTGAAGTCGATGGCTACATCCTGGACTGGAGTATCGACATCAGTGGAAGGTTCGAGATGACTCCAGATAGGAGCTGTGAAGTGCTTGAGTTGAGGCACGGGGTGCGAAACCACGAGGGTGGTGCCCCGACCACCGTAACGCGGCAGTAATGGATAGGCACATTGCTCTAAGGGCCTGACTGATAGCCTACGGTGCCCTGCCGCTCTGGTCCAATACTGTCCAACTCTTCTCAACCAGCCTATACAAGACGACTCCGTTTTACAATGGTTAGAATATTGGCCTTGAATATGCACGAAATTAATTAATAATTTGAAGGTAGATATATTATTTCTATTTGTTTTAAAATGTTTACATGTTAAGTAACGTTACTGTCTTCGTTAGAAACTGATACAGCCATTCCTACAGTCCTAAACCTGATGTTAGCTACAAAGCCGAGTCTAATAAATGGTCTTTTTAATGCAAAAGTATTTCTTTTGATGAGATTGGTAGTACCTGAAATCATTATTGAGAAGTTTTAAGTTGACAACCGTTTTACCTTATTATGTTAATATAGATGAATAGATGGAGAACCTGCGGCCTCCTGAAAT